CGGCTGTTTTAAGGCATCAACAAACAAAAGTAGGTTAAATAGTTATTGTTTTATAAAATAAACCAGTTTTTATTTGCTTCATTGCAGTGGAAGGTAAATTGGATCCGAAGCACAAACGGGAGACTGGGCCAAAGAAGTGGTCGGAAAGGGAAGTCAATGATAATTTGAATTATAAACGAGTGCACAGAAATATTGAGGTTAGAAATGGCGCGCATTTTAAGTTGTATTGATAATAATAAGTTTATGACATACAGAAACCAAATGCCCAAATCTACTATAGAAAACTGATAAACGAGACCAAGTTAGACGCGACCTGGAACTTGGTTCGAGAGAGGCGCTCCAGTTGCACCACAGTTTTGTGGGCCAAAGAAGTGGAGGAACGCAAGTTGAGATTCGAGGAACAGAAGTTCAAATTGGAGGAACGTCGGATCGCATTGGATGAGAAGCGGCGGGAAGATGATTTCCAATTGAAACAGCTAGAACTTGAATTCAAATTTAAATTAAGACAATAAATTAAATAAAAATACGTAATACGTGTGCATTTTTATTCACACGTTAGATTATATAAAAACTCTCTTACTAAGATCTTAAATATATAACACAAAAATCCAATCACAAGGAAATGAATGACTTTTTTGTCTTTTAAACGAATATTTAACTCTTAAGGTTGCAAGACTTTTCTTGAAGGAACCCAAAACATTTCTCAGCTTGACGCAATATTTTGTTAAATTTTTTCCTAATTACAATAATATTATTAAACGGCATATTTAGGTACACTATATATATATATTTGCACTATATATACATGTACACTATATACTGCTATTAAAAAACTATTTCATTTGAATAAATGCTCTTCCAGATTTCCAGTTACCATATCCAAGGATGTCTTTATGGACAGGCTTTATGGTTCTGGTTATATGAAAAAATCAATTACATACATATCTGTACTGTAGTTGGAATCAATTTGAAACTGGATCAACTTTTGCATACCTTTTCCTTGAGTACTCGAACAAATTAAATTAATTATTGTTGAATTTTGGTATTCGTAAAGGTTGTGTTATCGATGACGCGTCTTACAAATTATAACTAATCATGCTGATCTGATTTTCATATTAATTTCATTCATGTTCTTCCGACCAATTCAGCAGCGTCATGCCGAAAGTTAATAAAAACAGAGATTTATCACACTCCTAACAGTAATCAACAATCCCACTGTCCGTCGATGGAATACAAGACATTGAAATTACCTGAGCGATTTCCACACAAAAGGGCCGCGTGTGGTCCCAGAGTTGGAATCCCAGCGGCTATGGCGCCGGGAGCAGCAATTTCCTCCGGCATTAGACACAGATACTTACAGCGAAGTGAGTGGAAAGGGGGGGGGGGGGGGGTGGAAGATGCTCACATACCAATGTATGTATGTACACATGTATGTAGGAGCATGTTGAGGGCAATAATTCAATGCGAACATTAGCATATAATTATGCACAATATTTTTGGAATTCACAGAGATGGGAATCTGTGGGGACGCAGTGGAGCCGCGCCCAAGCAATCGATGGATGCACTGCCCACCGTTAATTTCTTTTCAATTTCGAAACTCGCGCATTTATTTAAGTCAGCGCATTGCTATAATTTGCGTCACAATGTCACACGCCCCCCATGCCCGGCGCAAACGATTCACGATGGGCGTGGCTGTGGCCGTGGCCGCGGCTCCGTCTGCGAGTATAATTGGGCAGGCAAACCAAAAGGATGTGTTGAATTGAAATGCCTGCCGGGTAATCCGATCGACCGACCACTGCCCGCCGCTGAGTTATGACGCATGCCCGCTAAGTGAGCCCGGCTCTTGGCCAGCTTTTGGCCAGCTTTTGGCCTGGGCTCGCTGGGCACTCGACGCTTTCAACAACTACTGCGAATGCTGCTGCGGCTGCTGCTGCTGGAGTGGTGCCTGGTGGTGGTCTTATCAGAAGCCGTTGCGCACTACCCGAGCTGCCAAAAATGGCATTGCTGCGCATCCATTATCCGCGCTCTGTCACTGTTCGTCTGGTGTGTGGTGGTGCCCACCACCAGCGCCACTGGGCATTTTGCACCCAGCTCTGAGTTATAGTGTGGATATGATCAAATTATAGGCTTAGCATTGCATTAAATTCGCATAGACATCGGATGGGGGCTCTTGCAGAGGATGGCTAACCAGCCTGGGTGAGCATGTGCGGCGCATGTTGCGTTGAGTCGAATCGAGTCGAGTCGAGTCTGGCATCCGGTCAAATTCGAATCCATACTTCATTCCGGAACACTGCTAATCAGCAGCTGTCGCTATGTTCCATGCAACGATCTATAGAACACGCACACACACACACAGACACACACACACACGAATGGTATGTAAATGAGGTGCGTCCAGTTCGCACGCTGCTGCCACAAAGTCTGCGCAGGCGCAGTGTGATCTTCCGAAAATAAAAAATAAAATAAAACACATGCAAATAAAATAAAATCGTTGAAAATTGCACCAATTAAGTGGCCAATGTGTTCCTCGAGGATGTGGGGATGTGGGGAGTGCGGATCCTGGGGGCATTGCTTCGCATTTATCAGCGATATTAAAGCGTTAAGTGAATTACTTATTCTCTATAGGCCGCTGCAAAGCAAAGCCAATGCGTTACCTTTCATGTCTACCTGTCCCGGGCGATTCCGTGTCGCTTCTCGCTGCTCCACTCCCCTCCACTCCTCTCTGCTCCGCTCTGCTCTGCATCGTGCTAAAGTATAAATGTGTGCGATAGCCGCGATGTTGCATGTGACAATTATATGCGCTGAGCGACGCCAGTTTGGCTCCCGCTTCCCATGGCCAATACGGGCGTAGATGGGGGCATTTGAAGCTGCCGCAGACTCAAGCCAGATATTTACACTTACAGCACAGTCACAGGGACAGGCACAGGGACAGGCACAGGCAGCTACCATTTCCATTTTCATTGCCGCCTTTGCCGATCGTTGCTGATCGATTTTCAATCGATCGCCAGCATCATGCAACCGCGCACAGCCCCAGCCTCTGGTCTGTGGAACGCAGACGCAGACGACGATTCAGCGTCAGCTCCTTAGTTCAACAAATCGTGCCAAATAACACAACATAATGACAACAAAGCCGACGACAGGAGCGACGACGACGACGACGTCCTCCACTTGTCTGGTTAGCTGGCTCTGCAACTGGGACTGCAACTAAGACTGAGACAGTCGGTGATTGCCATTTCAAGATTTTGCCACTCATACATACACATAAACATATACATACACACACTCTGGGGATCGCAAAAATTAAGAGATATTTATAATAAGCACGAAAACCACTTAATACTAACGCCTTTGGCAATTAAGAGCCACAGCTATGGCAGGGATGCTGCTAACAGAGACATTCCAATGTTCGACAGCCCAGTTGGGTTACTTTCCATGCTAACACACCGAACAACACACACACACACACATACGCACTCACGCACACATACATGCACAGATACTGGGCAGATGGAAATCTGTGCTTTGATGACATGCTCATTGGTGACGTCTTCGCTGACATGTCATGAGCTTACATGACGACTTTGCTGACATGTCATCGGTTGTGTCTAGTCTAATGACATACTCGATGACATGGTCTGTAACATAATCAAACCGGTTCGAGATCGGAACTAATATTTGTTTTTTAATGCGAACTTAATCGAAACCGAAATAAATTCTTTTAAGGGGGAATCAGCTCCAAAGTCCCAATTTAGCCCGCATGTTGTATATGAAAATACTTAGGCTTGCAATATTTTCAGTACAACGGGCAATTGTACAGTGAACATTTTATGACTTTAAAATTTTGAAAGTATATGAACCAGAATCTGGATTGAAGGATGTAAAAAAACTAAAGGCAGGCCTTTGCTTTAAACCGTGAGCCACCGTCATAAAAATATTATGTATTGTATAGATAAAAAGTATTGTTAAACGATATCTAAAAGGAAAAGCTCGAAGATACCTTTGTTGACATGTCTTGCAGCGTGTCCTGCAAGACGAGTCGCATGACAGGTCAACAGAAATTTGCGATGTTATCGTGTAAATGGTCATTCCTGTAGGACATCTCCATCTCTATCTATTTGTAACTGATATTTAACGCAGATTTCGCTCCAACTAGGCCATGTCAGCAGCCAGTGTAGTCGCACCCTTTGTAGTTGAACCTTTACAGAAATGAATATGTAGATTTTGTGTACTTGGAAGTCGCTTTTCAGCGACTCATCAAAAGCCGCAGGTATGTAAATTTCATGGGTTTAATTGTTTTCATTCTCTGCAGAGGTTTCTTTCATTTCTTTCACGGCGGATCCGCGCTGAGCTGGTGAAGTTGACGCCTTCGGTGGCTCATTACAATCAATAATAGCAGCTGGCGCTGCGGTTCAATTGATTCTTTCAGTATCGACTCAGTCGGACAGTAAATGAAATAAAGTGAAATGAATAACTGTTTCGGCTTGCCCAAGCCTGAGCTGGACCTGGAGTTGAAGCTGGAGCCGGAGCCAGAGGCAGTTGCCAGGCCAGAGCTGTGGCTCGCTTAAGCGAACGATTATACAAGTGGTTTTCTGATTTGACAGGCGTTAAATTAAAATTTAATTCGGCCATCTATATAATTATAGTGATCCATCCGAGCATACACATTGACGACGACAACGAGGACGCTGACGTCGACGACTTCTCAGCGCATGTAATTAAAGCCACATTAATCATCCAGGCCCAGGCCCAGCCAAGACCGAGCACATTCGCAGCCACTTGAGCCTGACTCTGAGCCTCTGTATTTGTGTTTGTATTCGTATCTGTGGCTCTTCGTCTTGGTAGCCACAAAATTGTCAGATTTGTCCACTTGAGTTATTTTTGAATGCGCGTCGAGCTCCCGCGCCCGCGCCCGCATCCCGCATCCCGCATCCCCTCTCCTCCTGCCTCCGCATCGATGGGTGTCAACTCTGCTGAATTCCCGACCAATTATACGAAACCCGTGAGAATTTGTCGAATTCTTATATGTATTGTCTTATATATGTATATATACATATGTATACATATATCGATTCCGTTTTTATTTGTACTCAGCACGTGTTTCGAATGCAAACTGAATAAATTAAGTTAAAAAAATTGCACTAAATTCTCGATTTAAAGCGATAGGAAACTGACAAATCCATAAACTTGCATGATTTTTTTTTTTTTTTTAGATATTTTCTAGTTTGGATTAGAATCTAGTTCTGGAATATACAGCATATTGATTGCACTGTTTAATTAGCCTCCGACTCCGTTTCCGTCTCCGCATCCACATTGATTTCCTCATCCAGCTCCGGTCGGGGCTCCTTCTGCGGCGCCGCCATATGCCGCCAGAGATATTGACGGGCAAAGTTGAGGGCGAAGGCGGCCGCCGATGCGGAGGCGGACGCCGCGGGCAGGGCAGCACGAAAGGCGCTATGCTCACCGCCCATTAATAATGGAACTGATGCTGTGAGTGAGGCAGGCGGCGGCGGCGCTGTTGCTGTCGCTGGATCGCGGCCTGGGGCCGTAGGGCTTATGCTGGTGCTGATGCTGGTGCGGATGCTGGTGCTGATGGGGGTGTTGCCCTCGCCCGCCAGTGCCGTGTGGTAGACGCTGGAACGGGTAGCATATTGTAGACTGGAGACTGCTGCAGCCGTGCTCTGCTCCTGCTGTGGACCCAAGGCAGCCGCGGGCTGAGGCGAGGTCGAGGCCGAGTCGCGCTGCTTCAGCTGATTGACCCGTTGATGGCGCCGCCATTTCGCTCGTCTGTTGGAAAACCAAACCTAATTGATCAATCGATGGAGAGACAATTTGTTAGTTAATAAAAAAAAAAAAACAGCGAGCGTCTGTGTGTCCAGGTCGGCGTCAGCGTGTGGTTAGTAGGCAACAATCAGGGGCTAGGAGCACAGTCCATTGTACACGGGTAACTCATGGGGCAACTCACCTGCACCCGCGCCTCGCTCAGCGCCGTGCGCGCCGCTAGCTTCTCGCGCGTGCCCACGCAGGGATAGTGCGACTTCTCGAACTCCTTCTCCAGCTCGTCCAGCTGCTCGGCGCTGAACGTTGTGCGATTACGCCGAAACTTGGGCTGATCACTGTCCTCCGAATCGCTACCCTCGCCTTCAATATCTGCAGAAGATTATTGATGAGGATCATCCGGATTTATGGACAACTGCGCACTCACCTATCATGCGGTTGGCATCCACATCCGGCGAACGACTGTCCCGGCTGCCCGACCCGGGTGACAGTGCCGGCAGGGATAAGCGTCCACTGCCCGCGCTGCTGCCGCCGCCGGCGCTGGTGCTATTGTTGTTGGTATTCGGATTGGAGCTGCCGTCGCTGTTGTAGCTGCTGCTGCCGGGCAGAGCGCTGCTGGCGGGCAGCGGCACAGCGCCCCAAAGCGGATGGTGGCCCGGCAACGTGGCCGGCCAGGTGGGAAAACTCGTATAGGGATGCGGATGCGGATGCGTTGGATGTAAAGCATAGCCATAGCTGGCGGCGCGCGCAAACTCCGCCGCGGCACGTTCAGCGGCGCGGTTGCGCAGGATGCGATTGATGCTGCTCACCGAGGGGGCAGTGGCATTCGTGCAGACACCTGAGGGAAAGACGCAAACGATTATGGCCAGGCCTGAGCAAACGAACGGATACTGGCGCCGGATGCAGTGCGTCGTGACCTGCTCATGAACCCGAAATGCCGACTGACGCAAATTAGATTGACTGTAATGAGCAGACCAGCTGCGATTGGCATCTACATTCGACCACAGTCGCAGTCGCAGTCACAGTTGCAGCCCCTCGAGCATGGTCTTTGTGTGTGTCCGAACGTCTCATGTGAGCGATGGCAATCGGACTATTCATCGCACAGCGCTGGAGGCAACCGGGCGACCAGGCGACCAGGCACTGGGTATCCACCGGTGAGTGACACAAATGTGAGCACATTTACATATCAATCGACTAGCCCAGGAGCGGATGTTCATAAATTAGCCAATCGATAAATCTCCCACAGAGCCGAAACAATTCTTACAACATTAAATGAGGAGCTGGCAGACCGCGCAACACACACACAGCAAGGAACGCAGCAACTTTACTTTGGCCTGGATCAATTCGCTGGCTAATTCGTATTACGAGTACGAGTACTGACAACCGCACCATAAACACATCAAGCTGAGATGCTGTCAGCTGCTCAAGTAGCTGCATCTCAGCGGCTGGAAAGCGTAACCCCATGCCCGCCCAGACGCACCGCGCCGGACAGGACCATTCATTGATGGTCGACTCTTGATTCTTGCCCGGCGCTTGTCAATGGCTTTGTGCAATTTCGCTTTTGGGGGGTTCCCATCAGTTCATTTTAATTAGCTCAACTGTCGCGCTCTGCGTTGTCCCCTGTCTCTGGTATCTGGTTGTTGTTCGCATTGTTCACAAATGGCACTCACCTTCGCTAATCAGTCTCTCGCGTATTTCCCACGCGAATATCGTTGGATTTTCGCGTTTGTACTGCTCGATCTTGGAGACAACTGTCGGCGTGGCCACCTTCGGTTTTGAGCCGCCAATGAGCCCGGGCGGACGCAAAGTGCCTGCAAAGATGTACAAAATGATGAAGATGAGCGATTGACCAGGCTTTTAACTCTGGCTTTTTATGTTAATATGCAAAATGTTGACCTCTTCTGCTGCTGCTGCTGCTGCCCTGCGGCAAGTCGCATAATTTTCGCATTATCATACGCTGCTCCCGACTGGGCAACCGTCTGGCTCATGTGGGCGTCGGAACCAGTCTCCAAGCCCGCCGGCCCCATTGTGTTGACAGTCGCTGCGAACTACCTGCTGCCGCTGCCAACTGACTAACTAGACAATTGAAGGCGCGTTCCGCCATTCAATGGCGCGCTAATTTGAATATTCGGCAACGACACAATTGTACAACTCGCACAACAACAACAACAACAACAAAAGCAACAACAACAACAACAATGCCAGCTTCGACGCAGCTTCTCGTTGATAATTTGTCGGAAGCGAGTGACAGGCGCGCGCTGTTTATCTTGTGAATTAGGCGTTAGAAATCAGAGGATACACTTGGAGAAAAACGCACTCAATATGGGCACTTTGAGGGTTGACAAATACTTTTAATTCAATAATTATCACATTAATGAAATAATGCAGCTGCTTTTTAAATCAAAAACAATACTAATTAGTTCTTTTCGGCTGACCAACTATTAAATACCCATAAAAAACGCAATTTTAATCCCACTGAATCTCAGCTATAGTAATTTAAGAGCTTAGCTATTTAGAACGATTAATCTATTTAGAACGATTAGTCTAAATGGATCTGCATGATAAAGTATTTCGAAGTTGATAAGATTTTGCCTATATATGAGAAGATAATGAAACTATGAGAGGCTAGCCAAGATATCTTGAAAAACAATAAAGTTTTTCATGCAAGAACTTAATTTTTAAGTGATTGTTCCTATGTTAGCTACATATATGACTGTTCCCAAGCTATATGAATTGATTGACAAGATTATAGAAGATCATAGTTGTCGAGTTTATTAAAGATAAATGTATGAAATGTTAATTTTTGAGTGATTGGAAGAATTTGGTATACATATATGAGGAGCTCGTTTGGCAAGTAGTAGGCCAAAATTTCAGCAGGAGCTTGAAATGTAGAAATATAATAGAACATGGCCTATTTTATAAAGTTAGTTTTACAAGTGCTGAGATCATTTTTGTTTTCTGATATAATGGATTTGTAGTTAATTTGTCATGTTAACTAACCTACAGAGCACCAACATATATTTCACATTTCACTTTTATTTCTCTCAGTGTAGCTGACAATTGCATGAATACTACACATTGATTGACTATACATTGTCATAGTAGCCCAGGTTTGTTTTAATATATGTATCTACACTTATGCAAATTGGAGTTTTGCAAAAAAAACGGAAACTATTTACACATTTACACAGTTTAAATTAACTAGCGACAAAACCCTCCGCCTCCAACCTGCCTTTACGTTAATTTAAATACTGTGAATGAATTATTGCCCCACCGACTGCGCACAGATCGGATAATTTGTGAGTATTATTCAAAAATACTCCAGTGAATGGTTGCACTGAGCGAATTGAGCAATGCGCCTATTTACTCGTGTAGAAATCAAGGTAGTACAAAATACACACGTTGTAATTTAGCTGCTTATATAAAGGTATATCTATTAACCAGATTTACTTTGAAAAGCTTTCTCTAAAAGGATGGTAATATGGAAAAAAGGGTAGGGCTGTGTATATTATGTTATTATTATAGTATTATATATATTAGTATTATCAAAGCATTAAAACTTAAACGTACAAATAAATTTTAAGATGCTTGCACTTTATGGCAGATGTCGAATGTAGATCAGAGCGAAACAATTACAAAATGTATCATATCCAGTTAAGGCCTAAAGTTCTTAAACTGAACCAAAAACCGAAAATCCTAAGCTAAATTACGCGTGTATGCGGTATTTTGTATAAATTCAAGAATAATTATTTTAATTTTTGTGATCGGTTTTAAAGTTAGTAAAATATGCTCGTAAGAGTCAAGCCTTTGTTCGTAAGAGCTAAGGCTGCAAACCGTGATCATAACTGGTATTCCAATTTGTTTCTTACTATGACCCAAACCAATTTGATTAAGCGACAGACGAACCAGAACACCAAACCAAGCCATTGTTGAAAAATAAGGAACTTGAGGGAAGCCAAGCTGCCAACTTGGGCTCATTGGATAAATCTTATCATATTTTTTCTGGATTTTGGATAAAGGTCAGATTAAGCCCGTATAGTAAGTTTATAAGAGTTTCATTAAGAGCTTCAAAATATATAATTAATCAATGCTTGTCAATGGTCTGAGCTGTGATTCGAACCACCGACTACTTTCTTGGGTTCGAACTTGAAGGTATTCATATAAGAGTTAAGAAAGACTTCTTAACTGAGTGTCTTCTGTAAATATATGGACTTAATCGTACGCAGGCGGTCCTTGGTAGATGATATGTCTAAATGATTTTGCCAACTGGGATCGAACCCCAGGCTAATGAATGGATGTAGTGTTGACTTATATAGGAAGAGGTTAGGTAGATAGGTTAATAGCTGGCAATTGCATGCTATACTTTAAACAATAATAATAAGATCATTAGTTGCAATTCAATACAAAAGAACCTATTTAAATTTAAAAAATATTGATATCAAACTATGCCAAGGACATTGCATTACAGATGTCCGACTTAGAATGTGGCAGTCGAATTGGCCTATGTCATACAAATCTAATCCGATATATCCAAAGCACAGCTAACCTCCCGCTCGAGTGCCCCCTTGGAATTTGTTTAGCTTGTCGCGGGCGGCGCGCAGAATTGCAATTTAGAGCGAAAAAAGTTGTCTGAAAACAGAAAATTGAAAACTGGCAACAGGTGTGCGGCGGCTGTGGCGGCCTCCTATTGAGCACGCTTTGGCTATTGCCCAGGTGTCAGAATTGGGCATGGTAAGGTGCAATCGATTTGTCGTGTATACGTGGCCCGCTCGTGGTCTGGGGAGTCACAGTCGTCCAAATCGATTACGGACGCTTCGGCTCCTAATTCAGCGGGACACATTTGGCAATTGCATTTGGAGCACGTGTTTTGTTTTGTGGTTCGGTTCCGCGTTATGCAGACGCTGGCGCTGATTGCATTGGTCAGGCCGGACTTGCACCCCTACAGACCATAGATTACCCCCTGTAAAAGACTTACCCAGCAGCTTGGATACTGCGCCCTGTTGGGAGAGCATATGTTGGGCCAGATCGTAGCCCCGCAGGCCGAAGCGTGACAGTTCCAGTAGCCGATGCTGGGAGGCCAGAGCGCTGAGATTTGTGGCCGCCGCCGCCGCCGCGTTGCCCTGAGGGGCCAAGAGGGCCAACGTGGGAGCTGGTGGTGAGCCGGCGGCTAGCATCGATGTGGACGGGCAGTGGCTGTGCGTAAGCGCTGCAAAAGATGGACAGAGAAAGAGTGAGTGAGTGAGTGAGAGAGCGAGAGAGGGAGCGAGGGAAAAAGAGTGAGCAAAATCATTAAATGTCAATTGGAATTTAAACGAAGCTGCTGCCAGAATTCCGCGCATGGCAGCCAAACACCAAGAAATTTGTAGCCAACAGTGTGTGGGCATGGTTAAGGGAGGAGGGCGGGGGGTACGGGGGCCAACAATGATTGGACAAATTTCGGTCTGTTTTTGATCGAACACGTCAAAGACTTAAGCGAAGACACAGTCCACACAGAGCTGGTCACAATGTGACGAGTGCTACAAGCGGAGGCCCATTCCCGTTCCCCTGACCGTACCCCGCCCGTTCCCGCTGGCGGAAGTGTCAACGTTTATGGTCATAATGGCGTGTCAAGTGGACGTGGTGTGGTCCATTACCGTCTCCTTCATGAATCAGTTTTGTATGGCAAACGATTGCCGGACTGCCAACAGCTAATTTGAGCTGGAATTTATGAAATTCCTGATGTCTCCGCGCTGGCAATTTGTTGGGATCTCGGATCGAGCTGGCTTCCAGGCTGGCGGTTGGGTATCTCGTTTGTCGTTTGTCGTGGCACCGATTAGCAATTCCTCAGATGTAGAAGCTTTTATGTTCATTTTGACATTTTATCTGATCGCGAGAACTGCACACATTTTAACACCTCTTTTTTTCGGTATTTCTCTCCACTTTTCTGTTGTTGTTGTTTTTGTTTTCCTTGTGTGGCTGCGTGTGTGGCAGGCTGCAGATGCTTTGGTATGCCCAACGCTGACCTCGACGACCCTCAGCTACGCTGCGAGCTGTGCTAATTAAAGCCGTTGCCTGATCTGCTTGCAACCGAGTAGCGCACCGGGTAGTTAACAATTTGTTGCAGCCGCATGTTGCGCCAATTGTTGTGGTCGCGGTTATGGTTATGGTTATGCCTGATTTATGCTGCGCTCCAAACAATTGACGACCAGCCCAATCACCAAGCCAGGCAGCAGGGGCAGCACACACAGAGTACACGCTGACTGCGCTTATGCCACGGATGTCAACGCGACAGTGCCACAAAATGCGTACCGACTCGGTGGCAGTGGCAGTGGCAGCGGCTGAGACCCAACTTCGAGCTGGATACACCCGATGATTTACTACTGATCTTAGCGGCAATGCGACAGCTACGGCTGCCTCGACGCACCTCAGTCAATTGCAGAATCGGCTTAAAATCGCACGACTTGGCGCAGCCAATATTGTCCGTTCCGTCCAGCCCGGCCGCACTCGCACATCAGCGTGCAACTTTTAACAAGAAGCGACGCCGCAGCCAACAGAGACAGAGCGAGAGAGAGAGGGAGAGATCTTGCCACAAGCACAAGTGATGATCGCCTCGGAATTCAATTGATAGTTTGATTTATTGCTACCGGTAAAGTTTTTGCCGCTGCTGCGCTGCCAGGCACTGCATATAAATTAAAGTTGCCCGCTTTTTTACTAAGCGCTCTGCCCCAGCCTGGAGATGTCATCTCTCTCTCTCTCTCTATCTCTCTCTCTCTCTCTCTATCTCTCCTCCTCTCCTCTAGAAGACTGTCCCGCCTTGCGGCCAGTTGCTGCTCGCTGATCTTGTTTGTCGCGCGCAGCACATTACTCGTTGGGGCTTCTGGTTTTTAATGCGTAATATTGTGATCTTCGCACGTTTAGCTCGCCTAGAGAGCTGCTCGACTTGCAAGGAGAGTTGCCAGCCAGTTGCCAGCCAGTTGCCTTAATTAAACCAAAAGGATGACCATTCGATCGAATTATACATTACTGGGCACATGCTATCAAAGTATTAAGGGCTTACGTGGCATTCCTGAAGCATTAAATCCAAATTCTTTTGCCTTAGAAGTATATCAATATTGCAATCAAGGCATGTGCCTGGTAAGGTTCATGGTAAATTACTTTTATGTATGTGTGCACATTTTTCAATGTGCATTTCTTATGCGTAATATTGTGATCTTTGTTGCTTTAATTTAACCAAAAGAATGACCATTCGGTAGAATTATTTCCTATGCACCAATCAAAGTATTAAGTTCTTACCTAGCAATTCAGGTGTATTATATCCAAAATTCTATAGCCTTAGGACATGCGCCTGGTAAAGTTCATTGTAAGGTACTCATATGTAGGTGTACACATCTACAATGCACACTTTTAATGCGTAATATTCAGATCTTCGCATGTTTACCACCCCTTAAGAGCTGCTCGACTTGCAGTGAGAGTTGCCAACCAGCTGCCAACCAAAATGATGCTCATTCGAACGTATTTTATATTCCTAGTTAAATATTATTAAAATACGTAGCATTGCTGTGTATTTGATCCAAAATTCAATTGGATAAGAATTGAAGTATATGAATATTGCAAGCTAGGTATGCGCCTGGTAGGGTTCATTGTAAACTACTCATATGTAGGATCACACAGATTTTTGCAAGCAATTACGGCTGCGCTATTTAGGGAACTCTTATTTGTTTTCAATGGGTTTGAATATCCTTAACCCAAATTGGTAAGTAAAGGTTCAGTAAATTTATGTAGCGTACGTGTTTCGCAGAAAGAGGCCTTGAGACTTGGTAAGCAGTCACAAGTAAGTCGATCTGCTCATGTCCATCAGCTCTGTTGATTTATTTAAATACTTCCGTGTTAGAAACTAAGAGCCACATCATTTGACATGTAGATTAACGATCATATACTTATCAGTTATATTGAAAATTTTAGAAATCACTTTTCTACCTCCTAAGCACTAAAGGAAATCGGTTATAAAATCTAGGTTTTCTCCTAGATACAGCTATATTCTTAATATATAGGAGAAACCTATTTTTGGTTTGATATTCCAGTTCAGATCTAAAGAATATATCCACGTGTCAGAGTATTCTTATATACATATTTCTAAACGATATTTCGATTGATGCCTGCAGCAGGCTAACCCTTACGAAGCGGAAGGGTTGGCCCAACTAATTTCCGGTCAAGTGACTTATGCTTGTGGCACAAACTGAAAGTCGGGTGACATAAGTGGCATAAACATCATGAGCAACTACATGTGGACACAAATGAGGGCCATCATGTGATGATGAGCATCGGCAGAGCTGAGGAGGCTATGGCTATGTACACTTGAAAATCATTGTGCACACCTTTTATACGCTCGGCTTTCTAAGAATAATGCGAATACACGCATCAAGTAACCCGAAACCCTTAAGTATGGTTTCTGCCCAGTGCTTAAACATCAATGTATGCCATGTACCCATACCCGTACCCGGCCCGGTCTCGGATAGTTTGTGTATGTGTGTTGAGTGTGTGCCTTTTGCTGGTTTAGCGTCTCTGCGCTCTTTTTATAATTATTTATTTATTGTGCAACTTCCAACACCTTTTAGAGACAAGTCAAAGCTTTGGCCTGTTGTCTCGCCCGCTGCAGCAACCGCATTCGCTGCCTCCCCCCTTCCCTCGCCCCCTCGCTGCTGCCGCCGCCGCCAGTGGCAGTCGCATCTCGACGTGGCCACTCGATGGCCGCCGACATGAACTAATTTTATTTGACAACCCATACTTGTGCAAAACAAATTGCCACTGATGTGCGAAAGACCAAAACAGTTGGCAGCTCTGCGTTGCAGTCGATTTTTTGTCGTCGTTGTTGTTGCTGTTGTGAAATTTCCAAATCATTGCGCTTTTCCAATGGCCAAGTCAGGCTCAGGCTCAGGCTCAGTCGCAGACTCGGGCTCAGGCTCGGTCAGGAATTTAATTTGGGACTGGAGCATGGGTTTTTATTTTGTTTTTGTCGCTGCCAAAAGTTTGGGCATTTGCTGGCCAGCTGTATCCTTGACAATTCAAGGAATTTAAAAAATTCTTCGCAATATTTAGACTGGGCAAGGTGCTGAGCCGGGTAATATTTGTGGCAGCGTCTAATTGGTCTAATTGTCACACTTACCTGTGGGCGTGGGCGAGGCGGCCGCCAGACTGGGACTTGTTGTTGCCGTCGGCTGTGCGGCGCTGCCGCTGCCCGTCGCAATGGCCTTGTTGGCCGCGTTGTCCAAGCCGCCCAGCAGCGGCAGATGTGGCGGCATGGGCACAGCTGCCATGCCCACGGGCAGGCCCGGCGGCATGCCGACACTGGGCATAACTGTTACGCTGGCGGTGCAAGTGGGCGTGACTGTTGAATAGGCCGCAGTGCTTTTGCTGGAGGTCCTTGTGGGGGCTGCCGTTGCCGCTGTTGTAGCCATGCCACAAAGCACAACAAAGGCACAAACGATAACACAAACGATAACACAAACGATAACACAGTGAACAGTTTAACAGCCAGTTAACGATAACTATTGTGAATCCTTAAGCAGTCGATAACTGTAAAAGTTGTCTTGAATTTTGAGCGCGTGCTTTATTAAATGCAATATTTTATTTTTGTTAGCAGATTTCGGCTATGCAGTAAAATGGCTTTGCTTAACCGTCGGCGTTTCGAGCTTGTCTTGCGATACACGACACACGTACACACGCACGCACACACTCGCACACACGCTCGAGAGGAGCACAGAAAATAGAAACGAACGCGAACGGGCAACGTTCCCGTTCGACGCGCACTCACTCACGCTGTTGGCTGACGCCGACTGAGACTGAGACTGAGACAGAAACTGACTCGGCGGCGCGCTTGTTGCCTGCTTGCTTGCCTGTGTCTGTCTCTCTGCCGCCTCGCGGGCCGCAGCTGATCGGCAAGCTCTGCTCTGTTACTGTATGCTGCTGCTTCTTCTGCTGTTCGCTGTTGCTGCTTCTTCTTCTTCTTCGACTGCTGTTGGTTTGCTTCTGGCTGTGGTTGCCATCGAGCGAGCATTGGGGCTCTGCTTGTTTTACTCGTTTTGTGTGTGCACGTGTGAGTGTGTGTGTGTGTGTACTTGAGCGTGCGAGCGAGCGAGCGCGCGAGAGCGAGTAAGCCGTCGCACAATTGAGCGCTTCGGCGAGTTTCTGTTTTCAAACAGTAGTAAAAGTTCAATAATTAATTGACTACCTAAGCAGTCGCTGCTTTTGTTCAGCAGCAGAAGCGGCAGCAGCAGCATTCAGCTCAAAAAGTTTTCGGCCAGTTTAATTGATGAGTGATTTTGTTTTGTAATACGGGGCGTATGTGTGACATGGTAAAAGTTTTTGTATTTCTGTTATTTTGTATTTGTCTCTTTTAGCTGAATGCATTGCCATACATAAAGCTGGGGTTAGACGGGGGCTGCTGCTACTGCTGCTGTTGGAAAACTTGTCAAGCGAACGGAAGCCCGTGCAGCCGTTGCTGCTAATCGCACATTTTGATTATGATATATGAGGGCATTCATGGTCGCTGCTTGTCTTCCACCATGGACTCCGTCGTCCGGCCGAGCGTGGGCGCCCGCTGTGCAGTAGCCATCCAACTGCTCGAAGGCCGGACCAGTGTGTGCAAAAAGCGCATTAAGCCAGACATCAATGGCAGGTCCAGGCAAAAGAAACAGCCAGGAATTCGCGACTGGCTAGCCAGTAACAGTAACCGATTAAGCTGAAACCAACCCCACCGCAAGGCGAGCACACACACACACAGCAAGTGCGACAGGGATGGAGCTAGTTTTCCGCGTTGGCAAGAACGAGCGCGCTAAAATCATGGTGCTACGTGCCACATCCACATCCACGTCCATGTCCACCCCACTCCTGCTGCCCTACCGTGTGCCGGAGTGAGCGAGACGCACTTACACAGGTCCGCACAGACAGTGGGCGATGCGATGCGACGCGCCTAATTGATTTATTTGCCCATTCCCAAGCTTATTCCCGTCGCCGTTCTTATGCCCATTCCCAAAGCCCCACACTCTCAGCGCACATACATATCCATATGTATGTATAACGACGACGACGACGTCGACGACGCTGGTTGGCTTTGCTTTGGATTGCCGTGCCCTTGCGGCCCTCGAGGCGCTTGGTTCCCTTGGGGAGCGGGGTCCGGGCAGCGGCGCAAATCCGAGTACGAGTATTTTGAAAGTAATGGCTGTCGGACGAACTGCGGTAGCTCTTGTTTCTCGCCGCTGTGATTATGCCAAATGGAGCGCGGCTCAGCGTGCGTGACTCTGTGTAGGCCTGTGTAGCTCTGGAGCGGCGCTTTTCTTGCTGTTGTATACAGTTATGTGTGGCGGGCGGACGCGCTGCTTTGTTTTGGTAGCCAATTGTCCAAGTTCGAAGGCGTCGCAACGCAGTAAAAGTGTCGCACAGGCCGCGCTTCCATAAGCCCAATCACCGCAATCAAGATCCAGCTACATGGCAATTTTGCCAAACAATATATTAGAGCATGGATGCGTTCGATGGAGGGGGCGTGATTGCCAGCTTGAACGATTGCTGATGAGCCCTCTGTCAGATAATGAAAAATAATCAATTTTAATGGGCTATAATTTGCCACCGCAAAAGCAACAATAATTCAAATTAAACAGCAAACTTTAACCGGCAAAATGCCACCGCAAACACACCAACACACACACGCGCACACTCACACACGCGACTACTAGTATTTATAGTTTGTTTATTTCCATAGATAAAAGACTAAGCAAAAAGCTGCGTTTCACTAAAAAGTTTGTTAATTTGCCTCTGAGAGAACACAAAAATTGTCTTTCGTTTTTTTGTTGTTTTCTTTTTGATTTTCTCATTTTTGCACTGCGGCTCAACTTACATAATCGAAATGCCTATGTCATAATTACGAGCTCAGTCGCGCTTGAGTCGAACTCAAGTTGAGTGAGAGCGCTGCACATATCAGAGGCGTGCCAGTCGCACCAATGCTGCATTGGCAGTGTACACAACAGTTGTCCTGCTCTAACACATGCGTTTGCTGCAAGCGCCGAACAGCCAATGAGCGTTGGCGACTGCCGCTCAACGACCCCCGCTAAACGGTCTGAGACGATTTGTTGGGTTCTCAATTGGAATGTAAACGCTTCCGAATGAGCCTCACACAGAACATATGAATGTGTGTGCCTGTGTGTGTGTGTGTGTGTGGGGCACTACTGTAGAAAATCATTATTGCTGGCTTATTTCTCACTGCAGTTGATTGCCGCAGATTGGATAATGGCGCTCGGTCGCCAACCACCCCGCCGCCCTCTGGGCCGTTGATGATTGATTTTCATTTTGTTTTTCGGCCAGCATGATTGATTACGTTAATTACGCGCCTAATTAAGCATTTATCACTGTATCTAATGGTCTCACAGAGGGCTCTATGCGCCATTTGCATTGCCAATTGTGTCGCTGCCGACGTCGACGTCAACTCTAACGTCAACAAATTATGCTCGCGCCTAATTGCGTTTCGTGCGCCTTTTCGGGTATGGGGAATTAATTATGGCCGCCTGACAGCCAGCCGCCACCGCCGCCATTATTTAAACATTATTTCACTATTATTTCTGTAGCAAAGTTCCTAGTCAGATAGCGATCTAGTATCTACATGCAAGTGGCAGCCAATGCCCAATGCCCAAGCCCAAACCCAAGACGAGGCCGAAAGCCGAAAGCCAAACCCAAGTCAAAGCCCTTCTGCGCAGACCGCGCATATTTGTGGTAGCCACGCTTCCTGTTTTTGTTTGTTTGGCGGGCTTGGGTGTCCGGCTGTCCGCCTGTCTGTCTGTCTGTCTGTCCGTCTGTCTGTCTGCCCAGGCAGGGGCTCAGCTATACATGTTCCAAGCCAACATAGACAAGAAGTGCCCGTCGCTGGCTTTTTGTGCCCACGGTTAGCGGCGCGGTGATGTTTACCCATATGTAGGCATATGCATATGCTGATTGCGATTGCGGGTGTGTGTAATGGTCTGCAAGGGGTTACTGCCAACCGCATCAGTATTCATATGTGCTACCCCGACTATGGCCTTTGGGCAATAACACAATGGCCACAAGTTTTGTGAACCGTAAAAACGAAAATTTGCCGCCGCTGATGAACCTTCTTCTTCTCTTTTTTTTTTTGCTCTTAGCTTCTTTGAGAAATGTGTACGGCGGTAATTAGAAATTGGTAATGTTGGAAGAATTACCAGAAGTACCAGCATTACCAAAAGAAGATTCCGCCTCAGCTCATTTGGAGAATTAGAGTTTCGTAACCAGCCAAAGTTCTTTACCATTGCGAACTACAGCCAGCGGAAATGAGTTCGGGCTTTTCCTTTTTTTTTGCACCGCTCGACAATGGCCGCCATCTGAGGAAGTGCTTAGCGCCTGCTCAGAATTATAAAGTTCCGCCTTTTGTCTGGCCAGTAATAAAGGTGGCTAAAGCTTCTGGCTTGAATACTAACTAATCGTTTGTTTTTATTGTGGTCTTCTTTTTGAGGCGGCCACAAATGGAATTTCGCCAACAAGTTGAATGACAAATAAATATTTTGGTGATAAGAAGCTGAACTTAAAAGTTTGATGATATATTTAACCCTAAGCTAAAAATTGTCCACAACAAATATTCTGTCTGCCGTCAACAAACAAACAACAAATCTAAAAGGATAAAGTCTCTTAGAAATTAACAAATTTTCTGAAATGCCAAGTTCGAATCCTGAAGACTCACTCCTTGTAAAGTTCACCACTGTCTAACGAGGAAAATGTACATAATATTTATTTAGTTATTATTACAAATGTCACAATATTATGAATGTGGATTCCATTCAACAAATGTGAATTGCATGACATTTTGGCCATCGATAGGCAGCTGGAATGGGCGCAGTCTTAGGATCCATATTCATCTCCAACACACTGCACGCACTCCACACACACACACACACACACACACACAGAGATGACCCCCTCCTAGCTGGCGGCAACTGGCGAAATGTAATGATTAACTCCACGCCGTCGCTAAATTAAGTGAGTTTTTACTTAACAACGGATCGGTGGGGTAAATGGGGAATGCGGAATGGGGCAAGGGCGGCGGGGAAGCGACGCGAGGCAAGTTCTTAATGCTGTGCTCCTGTGCGACAAGCTAATTCAGCTGCAGTTGAACTGGAGGCCAGGCATTGCGTGTCTGGGGCAGAAATGATTTCCACATACCAAAGCAGTTAAAGCCCTTAAGTCAGGGAGAAAATCCAATTAAATTCGGTAGCGAAAGAAATAAGTCCGAACTGTCGGTAAAATGATTCTACATACACGTATTTGCGTCAACATTGATTTTGCAGAAACAACAACTGACGATGACACAGACGGAGAGGCAGATGGAGACGCAGACGCAGACGGAGACGGAGACGGACTAAAGTAGTTCATGTGCATGGCGTGATTGAGGACGAGCCCAGAGCTGAGGACAGCAGCAACATTAACATCAGCAGCAGCAGCAAAAG